TTTAATAGTTACTTTTAGAAGAAAAAAGAGCAAGGAAGGGCATAGGCAATGGGAGAAACACTAGTAAATCAGAAGTGAAGAGAGGGAGTGTATAATTTGAGCTTCCTGTAGTTATTTCCTAAGCAGTACAACTTTAACTTACCTGACCATATACCTCTGACTTCATTAAAAAAATTTTTTAAATTATAAAGGTGATGTACAGGAGTTATAGTTACATAATTTACGTAGAGTACATTTCTTTTTGGATGTCACCCCTTCCTTTGCTCTCTCCCAGTTTTTCTCTCCTGTCTTAACTATAGTTCATTTTCAACATAGTGTGTAGTGAGTACCACTGCTGCAATTGCTCACCCTGACTTCATTTGTTATATAGAGCAAAATCTATATAACCCATATGCTGATCTCACATAAACAGTAGTAGAAATTTGTTCCAGTATAGTACCACTGCCTATTTAAATTTCTTGGGAAAGAATGAGAAGCTTAAGAAAAATACACTTAACATGCTCTCTCAATTCTAGTATTCCATATGCAAGACTTTATTAATTTGGCTAAAATAAAATATACCACACTAATAACAGATTCTACCTGATGTATCATCATTAGATTTATCTTCACCCATTTTTTTTTTTTTGCTGCCAATCCTGGGACTTGAACTCAACCTGGGGGCTGTTGCTGTGTCTCTGAGCTTGCCATCCTGCCTTCCTTCCTTCCCTGCTTCCCTCTTTCCTTCTCTCCTTCTTCTGGCATAAGCCACTGGCACTTGCCTGCCTTGATACTCTAAATGGTCTGCAGCTGTCATCAATTCCAGACTTATAAACAATGTTTTTTTCAAACATGTATTTTGTTGATTTTACAAATGTATCTTCAGACTTCATTTTGAAAGTGAATTGCATTTTAATGGAAAATCTGGGTTAAGTGTAGTTGTAACTTTCACAACGAGATCACCTTTTCCTCATTCTTACACCTAGGTACCATTTTGTTTCTCTAGATAGCACAGGATTTAACAACTGAAAGTAACCAGAAAATTAAAATTCATGTTTCTTCATATACAGTCAAACTGATTCACAGCTTAATTATTACCAATATTGGAGGCAGAACTGTTACCCTGACATGCTTCTTTCCCCTTTTTGGTGCAGCTGGTAACCTGTTTCCTCCTCCTTCTCACCTTGAAGTAACATTCAATTTGGTCAGCCACAGCCATAAATAGTGCCAGCAGGTCTTATCAACTATTCATGCAGCAGCCATGTCTTAGCCCACCATAATGAAATTCTCTGCTCTCCTGTCTGCATGAGGTTAACCCCCTCCCCCCCTCCCAGACAGGTGCCATTTCTCTGGAGAGAGATGGCCTTGTCAGCCCCTGTGACAATAAATCTCTTTCTCTGCACATGACTGTATCCATGTGGTCTTCTGGGATGGGTGCTTTGAAGAACAAGATTATAGTGCACCATTCTTTTTCATTATGTCTTTTTTTCCTCTTTAGCCATGCATGTTAATTTGGTTTACTTTTGAATTATTAAGCTAAATGTGCTAAATTAATGTCTTAAAAAGCATTTTGTAATGAGTAGCTCATGCTTTAGAACAATGTCTCGGTTTTGGAATCATACCAGTTTAGCAGGGCAATCAATACAGCCTCCTGAATAACATTTGCATGCAATAGTCACTGCTTCATTCTCTCATCCTGTGGGAAGCCACAGTAGCTTTGAAATTTGAACATGGAGTTTTAATTATAATTAATGAGTTAGCAATCATTTATTTGGTCTATTGTTCTTGGGTCTAGAAATAAAAGGTAAAAGGTCTAAAGGAATTTTTTTTTTAATTTGGATTAGCTGGGAAAACCTATTGACATACTACTTAAAGGAACAAATTTCACAACTTTATCACATAGTATTTTAGGGAAGGCAGAATATTGTTAGAGTTCATCTTTGATCTTACCTGAGCTATGAATAGGACTTGACTTTAGGAATACTGTATAAGTGAACAAAAAGAACTTGTTCACTTTACTCTTCTTCTCTGAAGCAGGATTTCTTTGGCTCTGAACTATTATTGGCATCTGAAAGCTTAAAAGCCAGGTTGGTAGAGTAAGATGTATTTCCCCAAAGAAATACAAGACATGTTTTATTTAACTAGCAAACTTTTTAAAAATAAGGCAAAAACAAGTGAGATTAATTTCAACTTATTACTCTATACAATATATCAAAACTGTTTTGGCATTTAACCCATGAGATTTATAAAGTGCATGTTTTCCAAGTTTTCAAAATCTGGTGTATTTTACACTTGGATGGCCTATCAGAATTCTAAAATTCTAAACTTGTGAGGGAATTGATTTGTATTTAGTTCTTAAATTCACAGTTGGAAGTAATTGATCCATGTACTTAAGTTATAGCACACTCAAATGGAATCTAATAATGGAATCCAGCAAGCATTTGCAAACGTAAGTAAAATAACTTAACACTCACTTCCTTAGTCACAGGCCACGTTTTTAATGCTTAATGGGCCATTTCCATCTAGAGTTCAAATCCACTTATCACAAGGTACTAAACACAAGTTGAGACTCCTTCATACATCGCAATTGCTAGTTCCTTTCCTACGAGTGACCAGTATACCGGGCTTGGAATTTAAATTTTTTTCTTTAAAAATACGAATAGACATACAGCATGTTGGCAGATTTAACAGTACAACTGTATGCACTCACAAAAACTACTGAGGCAAACCTACAACATGAACAGGAAGCCTTGTATCCCTCCCGGCCTATTTTCCCAAGCCTCCCATTATTAAACGACTGAAGACTCCGCCCTTTACCTTTGATGCCTTTTCTATTTATAAAGCAAAAAGGACTGTTTCTCAGTCTGAATTCTCTGGACAAACCAGTTTTCTCGGAAACCCTTGGCTACAAGCCTCACCTGAACTACAGTAAGTCTTGGAAACTGCCTGTCTTCAGGTGTTAACACCCAGGTAATTAACCATAAGCCACTGCTGGCAGCCATTGTAGCTCTTTCCTTGACAGAATGGGGGGCCCTGAAAAGGACCTTTTTGGTTGTTTACAAGATTCCCAAGGAGAAATTAGCCTCCGAAGCCGTACAGGGTACGCCCTTGCCGCTTAAGCGCGTAGACCACGTCCATGGCGGTGACAGTCTTGCGCTTGGCGTGCTCGGTGTAGGTGACAGCGTCACGGATCACGTTCTCTAGGAACACTTTCAGCACCCCACGAGTCTCCTCGTAGATCAAGCCAGAGATACGCTTGACTCCACCACGTCGGGCCAATCGCCTGATGGCTGGTTTTGTAATGCCTTGAATATTGTCGCGCAGAACCTTCCGGTGGCGTTTAGCACCTCCTTTCCCCAAGCCTTTTCCCCCTTTGCCACGGCCAGACATCTTCAGAGGTTGAAGAGCGAAGAGCAAGTGTCTGGAGGCCAGCAGCAGCTTCCTCTTATATAGGTAGTCTCTGCGGACCGGAGTGAAGACTGCAAGCGCTGCGGCGGGAAGTCTTTGTATGCTGGGGGAGGGGCCCTAAAAGGGAAAGAAGCCTGCTGCGCGGAATTAACTTCTTCCAGTTTTTTAAAAATTAAGACCCAAGGCTGTTGTCTTTTCTCATTTAATGTGATTTCTGCCCCAACCACCGTCATTAAACAGAAATGTAATATTATTGGAGATACATAATGAGAATATTCTGCACATATTCACATGCTTATTTAGCTGTTTTGTTTTTAAAAGTATTAAGGATAGGACGTTGAGACCAGAAATATGTCCAAATAGATCTCATTATAATTCTTTTCGTTTTCCCAGTTGTGATATTTTCCCACAATTGTTTAACCTAGTATAAAATGTACATTTTGTAAGTTGAGTCAAGTCCTTATGTCACATAAAACAGTTGAGACAGGCCTACTGCTGCACACTTGTAACCCCAGCATTCAGAAGGTAGAGGCTTGGAAGAAGGCCAGGCTGGGCAACAATTTGTTTTTCCCTTGTTAATCTGCCTTATAATTATTTGGCTCAGTCAAAAACCCTAGGTTGGTAGAATAAAACGTTATCCTTTTCCACACTGGCTGTTTTGTCACTCATTCTTGAAATTCATAGTGCTTTAAAAAACACAAAGTGGGGCTGGGCAGGTGGCTCAGTGGTAGAGCGCTTGCCTTGCATGCATGAGACCCTGGGTTTGATTCCTCAGCACCAAAGCAAAAAGAAAAAAAACCCGGAAGTGGTGCTGTGGCTCAAGTGGTAGAGTGCAAGCCTTGAGCTGAAGAGCTGAGGGACAGCGCCCAGGCCCAGAGTTCAGGCCCCACAACCGGACAACCCCCCCCCCCCCCAAAAAAAAAAATTAAAATAAAGTATAAACAATGTGATGAATTAAGGCTCTCCAAACTCTTAGGCTTTGTCCAGGTCAAGCTATTTCACTTAGCTGCTGTTATGCTTGCAGAATATATCCTGTATTGATACTTGCATTTAGATTTATTGAGCTAAATAGGAAGACATTAAGGACAGAGCAATTTATCAACTATCTACCCAAATAAACTAATAGGATCATTATAGTTAGTATATACCAGTTGCACTAGGATGCCAACTAGCTGTACTCAGTACAAGAAACAGGAAGAGGGCTGGGAAGGTGGCTCAGTGGTGGAGTGCTTGCCTTGCATACATGAGGCCCTGGGTTCGATTCCTCAGCACCACATAAGCAGAAAAAGCCAGAAGTGGCGCTGTGGCTCAAGTGGTAAAGCTGAGGGACAGCGCCCAGGCCGAGTTCAAGCCCCACGACTGACAAACAGGAAGATGTGAACAACTGTAACTATTAAGCTGACACTGCAGGGAGGAATCGCAAACACTTCATTGTGTATGTCCTACTTAGTGGCTGGGCATTTGAACGATCCTGTCAAGTGTTTCCACAGCAGCTTAGTGGCTTATCTCCAGAATTCACTGGAGCTTTCCCTTCTAATTATCCCACTTGAGCTTCAGAGCTCTTCAGCCAGGACTTTTGGCCTACTGCACACTAGACAATCGTTGGACTCTTTTAAGAGAAAAGATAGGTGGCCCTGAAAAGAGCCTTTGGTTTCTTGTTATGGTTGCAAATAAATTTGCTTATTTGCCCTTAGCCTTATGGTGGCTCTCAGTCTTCTTGGGCAGCAGCACGGCCTGGATGTTGGGCAGGACGCCGCCCTGAGCAATGGTGACTTTGCCCAGCAGCTTGTTGAGCTCCTCGTCGTTGCGGATGGCCAGCTGCAGGTGTCGCGGGATGATGCGCGTCTTCTTGTTGTCGCGGGCCGCGTTGCCAGCCAGCTCGAGGATCTCGGCCGTCAGGTACTCCAGCACGGCCGCCAGGTACACCGGGGCGCCGGCGCCGACGCGCTCGGCATAGTTGCCTTTGCGGAGCAGCCGGTGAACTCGGCCAACGGGGAACTGGAGACCGGCCCGGGAGGAGCGGGTCTTGGCCTTGGCGCGAGCCTTGCCTCCCTGCTTGCCACGTCCAGACATAGTAATGACTGAAAATGCACTACACCAAACTTTCAAAGACAGCTGTCTTTATATTCATTGCTGGGCGCGAAAAAGAATACGTGTTATTGGTTAAGACTTTATCTTCGTTTTAACCAATGGAAACATAATCTTGGGAGATACACATTTTGATTGGCTCTGAAAAAGCATCGTCAGAGACAGGCCTCACTGGACCTTATTTGCAATTGAGGTTCTATAAATACACGGTACGTTGCTACGACGTGTTCCTCAATTTCTTCCACCATGCCTGAGCCAGCTAGATCTGCTCCGGCGCCCAAGAAGGGGTCGAAGAAGGCGGTTACCAAGGCGCAGAAGAAGGACGGCAAGAAGCGCAAGCGCAGCCGCAAGGAGAGCTACTCGGTGTACGTGTACAAGGTGCTGAAGCAGGTCCACCCGGACACCGGCATCTCGTCCAAGGCCATGGGCATCATGAACTCGTTCGTGAATGACATCTTCGAGCGCATCGCGGGCGAGGCGTCGCGCCTGGCGCACTACAACAAGCGCTCGACCATCACGTCTCGGGAGATCCAGACGGCCGTGCGCCTGCTGCTGCCCGGGGAGCTGGCCAAGCACGCCGTGTCGGAGGGCACCAAGGCCGTCACCAAGTACACCAGCTCCAAGTAAGCCTCGACTTCGTATCCCAAAGGCTCTTTTCAGAGCCACCCATCTTCTCAAGAGAGAGTGCGCCTGCTTGTGGTTTTCTTTCCACAGCGTCCTTTACTTAAACTTCCAGAGCGTCTTTTTAACACTTAGAAGTATATGTCCAGTACTGACGACTTTGTTGCATCAGCAATAACTGTAAAATCACCTGTTGGAGAAGTGGGTTGCTAGGTGAAGCTCCAGTGCCGAGGTTGCGCGGGCAGTTTGAAATTTCCGCGCCAACCGCCATCCCGCGCCCTGATTGGTTGCTGTGATCCAGAAGCGTAGGCAGTGGGTGGTGTCTGGGGAAGGATTCCAGGCCTCGGCGGGTTGGCGGCACTCGCTGCCCGAGGAAAGCGTCCAACACTTGTATTTCATATTCCATTATTTAGGACGTTAACTCACCTAGGAATGGATTTGGTCCTTTTAGAAATTCTCATTGGAGAGAAAGCAATTCAAGGGACCTGGTTTTGAGTTTGAAACTAATAAGCAATTTCTAACTAGGACAGTTTTTCCTTTATGTATCTGTATGATCCAATTACAAAATAACTTCAGTCCCACAGCTGAAAGGAATTTATTCCAGACCTTACGTGACAACCAGTCAGTACATTTCGAGGTTATAACTTTGCGAGGTTATGTGTCTGCGGTAAAGCAAAACAACATTTATACAGCGTTTGCAATCTTCCTTTGATTTTTGTTTTAAAAGGCAGTCTTCCAAGCCAGGGGCTCACGTCTGTAATCCTGCCTACTTAGGAGGCTCATTAAATTGATCAAACGAGGTACCAGAGTTTAGTAATATTGGAAGTCAAGCAGAACACATTTCTGAGTCACAGGAGGAAATCCATTAAGAGTTTCATTAAATTGATCAAACGAGGTACCAGAGTTTAGTAATATTGGCAGTCAAGCAGAACACATTTCTGAGTCAAGAGATTGCATGGAAGGAAACAAATTGATTGTCTACTAAAAGACCAATCGACGAAGGTGGGATTCGAACCCACGCGTGCAGAGCACAATGGATTAGCAGTCCATCGCCTTAACCACTCGGCCACCTCGTCTTCACACAATGGTGTTAATGTGCGTCTCAATTCATAGTCAATATGCACTCTAGCACCCAGGTTGAAGATGTAGAGATGACTGATCTCCACACAAGTGAGTACCTAGAGTGCGGGGAAAACGTTTATTTTGTTGTTTTCTTTTTCGGTACTTTTGTAAGTGGTCGCGACTGGATCCATCATTGCTTGAAGAACGCTCCCTCCCCTGCCAGGTGCGTCTCCGGAAGCGCTGTGGCTGGAGGGGGTGTGGCCACACCCAGACCCCGCGCTTAGTACTTTGCTGACACCTTCTGGCGACAGGCGAGAATGTCGAGCAAGACCGCGCTCCGGAGCGCGCGGCTCCCAAACTGGTCCATGCGTGGGTCCATCTGGCCTCAATTTGTGGCTAATAAAACAACATGGAGGAAAAAATGTAGATCTGCGTAAAGCAATAACTATTCAGTGTTACTTTTAATTTAATGAAATAGCAGAGAATGAATTCCTCAATTCGTGAGACTTATTCCAGATCACGGGCCCTGGAGGAATCATAAGTTCAGAGTTCATGTATCTCCCAAAGTGATTTTCTAGAGAATTTGCTTAACTTGCACTCGCTTTTCCAGATGCTAAAAATATTAAAATTACAATCTAGAAAACGAGTAGGGAAACACAGGGGGAGGGTAAATTGCTGTGCGGCTGCTTCATTTGACTATTTTTGCTTGGTTTGTTTCACAGGATTAATAAAATATACAGATGAATGAACATGAGTAGGAATTCTAGATGAGTAATAATGCTTGGGAAGAGAAGGTGAAACTTGAAAAGCAAGTTTTCCAGAGATGGGAAAGAGAGACAGGATGAGGAAAAGTGCTGAGCAAAGGTGAGCAGGCCGGTGCTGTCTAGAACAGTGGTGAGCAGGCAGTCTTAGATAAATTAGCGGATCAATAAATATCCTTAATAAACCTGAAAGTGGAATAAGAGATGGTCAGGTAGGTTTCTCTCCAGAAGTTCAGGCCAACCAACCATGTGATAAACAACAGGGAACAGGAGGAATGATGATGGTGATGATGACAATGATGATGATGATGATATTGTAGTTGTATAAAGAGGTTACAATCCCACAAATCAGGATATGAGTACAATGCATCTTGATCAATGTCACCCCATCATTCTCTTCCATTTCCCCATGCCATCCTTACTCAAGGTACATAGTTCAATTTTTACATAATGTATAGTATATATAATGACTATAAATTTTGCATCTATGTCAAGATACTTTTAGATTGCATTAACATTCCTTTGCTTGCTTTTGTGAATTTAAGAGTCACAAAACTAATTCTTTTCTTCCTTGAAAGAGGCCTTAGACTGTACGGTTTGTTCTATGACCTGCCTGCCTGATTCATGTCATCATGAAGGATCTGTCTGTTTTGTCTTCCAAAAAGTAATCTTTTTCATACGTGGGATGGAGGATGGGCTTTCTTGTTTTTTCTTGCTTTAATCTGGATGAATTATTTAGCACACTCTGTTTCTTAGTTTTAAGCTTTTTTTCTTTTAAAGGTAACCATTTTAAAGATTCAACTACTTAGAAAATATGTGCAAAGCAAAATAGTGATCCTTTCTGCTCCGATTTGGTAGAAGTAAAGATTTTCTGCCATTTGGTGGTGGTGTTGTGATTTTATTTATTTATTTATTTCTGAGACAAGGGTTCACTGTGTTGCACAGGCTGGCCTAGGACTACACAGAGATCCTCCTACTTCACGTTCTACAGTACTGGGACTACAGGCAAATACCACCACACCAGCTCCTATTTTGTTTTTTGTTATCCCTGTCTTAAACAACACATCTCCAAATACTGTGCTATGCCAAAGATCTCTAGCTGTCCATTGTTTTTTTTTTTTTTTTTCCCTCCCAAGAAATGGAAATTTAGCTGGGCATTTGTCAAGTGGTGCCTGTCTATAATCCTAGCTATTAAGGAGGCTGAGACATGAGGATGGCAGTTCAAAGCCAGCCTGGGAAAAACTGGAAGTAGAACTGTGGTTCAAAGTAGCTCAAAGCTGTTGGTCAAAGTACTAGCCTGGAGCAGAAAAGCTCAGGGACAGTGCCCAGGCCCTGAGTACAAGTCCTAGGACTGCCCCTCCCTACTCCACCTCCCCCCCCCAAAAAAATGGAAATTTATCTGATATCATAGCTATTCATAAAAAGATCATGCTCAGCTTTCTTTAATAGTAAGGTTGGTCAAAGCATAACAGAAAGTATATGTGAACTTTCCAGGTAATCTCACTGGTGTTGACCTCCTGAGTAGTTAGGATTATAGGCCTGAGCCACTAGTGCCTGGCTAACAGTACACTTCTGTTTCCTCTGTGACTTTTTGTGTTGTTTTTTAAAATTTTTATTTACTTATTTTTTGCTAGTCCTGGGGCTTGAACTCAGGGCTTGAGCACTGTCTCTATTGCTTCTTTTTGCTTAGGGCTAGCACTCTACCACTTGAGCCACAGCACCACTTCTGGCTTTTTCTGTTTATGTGGTACTGAGGAATTGAATCCAGGGCTTCATGTATGCTAGGCAAGCACTCTAGCACCAAGCCACATTCCAACCCTTTTTGTGTGTTTTTGATAGCTCATTAAAAAAAAAAAAATCATTGTACCAGTTTGTTTATCCACTCACCTATTTAAGTACATCTTGATTACTTCCAAGTTGTGGCAAATAATACAGATGTGCTAAACATTTGAGTACAAGTTTTTATGTGGACATGGGTTTTCAACTTTTGGGTATATACTAAGAAGTGCTATTGCTGAAATTTTCCTTTATATTTTTACTCCACACGTATTGTAATTATTCTATTATTTTTTCATTTCTATGTTTTCAATTTCAAGAGATTTTGTACAACATTCTTGCTGTGTTGTTTAAAAGCACATGTAGTAACTTTCCTGAGGCTTTGCCCATTCACTTCCTTCTATGATGCTTTTCTGGTTGATTTCATCTCGGTTGCTAACATGTACTTCAGGTGTTTAGTCACCTTCCATTGTTATATCCATAATTATAAATTAAGCTATAAAAACAACTGGACACAGAGACTATTAGTCTAGTTCATTGACTTTGGGTTTCATTGTAGGATGATCTGCCTGTGCTATTGGCTATCAGATCTTTATATATCAAAATACTCAATGCATCCCTTTTAGGATCCTAAATTTCCTTGAAGAAGGAAGGATCAATCTCCTGCCTAGATAGCATAAAACATAAAACTGACCGTTTGAATTCTGAGAAATTCTTAAAGGAAAGAAGTTCCTTTTGAATCTTAAGACTGAATAATGTGTCATCTACTGCAAATTATAAAATTATATTACAAATAATTCATATTACAACAACTTACATCTTCATGCTCAATGGGCTTTCAAAGTTAAGAATAAGTGACAAAGTTGCACCCTTTCAGAGTACCAAGATGAGCAGGCAAGTTGAGCCTCAGCAGTACCCATGAATCAGGAAGAAGGGGCACACTTTGTGTAAAACCAATCTCTGTTGTTCTGAAATGTCTTAGTAAGTTAGCATGAGCAATATCTTCTCATTTTCTTCCCCCTCAAATTCCGGTTTCAACACTTGTGTTAACAATTCAGAGTGTTTCAAGGATTCTGAAGTTAAAGTATTTCCTGTGACAGAGGAGACAGTACCCTGAAGTTTCTAGGACACTGAGAGGAAAAACCTTAAGCTTCCAGGTTCACTTTATGATCGGCTAAGTTCCGCTTAAGTGCTAGAAACTCAGGGGACACAGTACTCATTGAATATTAATTTATTTAATCACGCGGTGTTTGTAGCAGTAACTGCTGAGGGAGAAGTCACAATTCAAATTGAAAGAATGAAAGTCTACTCAAAACAACTGGAATTCTAAGAATCTCAAATTTCAGCAGTTGTAGTAATCCCGCCCCGCCTCGCCCCGCCCCCAAACACTCAGAAAAGGTACGAGTGCAGAGGTGGGAAAGGATGGAGTGGGAGGAGAGCTGTAGAGAGTAGGAGGGAAAGGAGAAAACATAGTGGGCTCGTCCGGGATTTGAACCCGGGACCTCTCGCACCCGAAGCGAGAATCATACCCCTAGACCAACGAGCCGCCTGCCAAGTGGGGAGACCCTCAAGTAATATAAGAGTAATGATCATTTTTGTTCGGGGATTTTTTTTTTTTTTCCCCCTGACACTACTTAATACTTCCTGAATCCTGTACTTAGAATGGTTGGTTCTGCAGATAGTCTGTTGTTGGTTTAAATTATTGTGTTGTCATTCACGGATCAAGATTGGTAATAGGAAAGTTTTTCCTTTGTTTTACTTTGTTAAGCTATAAATAATATAACTCATTTTCATTTAACAAAATTTCCTCAGAAGGAATATCCCTAATCCCAGAAAATTTCTACTGATAGGATTTAGATTTCTTAACATTATCCCTCTACTCCAGAGGTACCTAGAAGTTAGTATTTGGTTATTTGGTTAGCTTTTCTTAGTTAAAAGCTTCATGAATTTACCAACATTCCTGGTTAACATCAACATTGTCACAGTAGGCTATTAGCTGACACACTTAAACTACATTTTAAAGTTATGCTAAGATCTGTGTATTTTAATTTATCTTTACTGAATTCAATGCCTTAAAAAAGTGAAGTTCATTTCATTCTTCAATTATTCAATTATTACTTGAAGAATGCCTGCTTATTTATCACCAGAATGGAATTCTTTTGCAAGAACAAGTAGAAATAATTACTTTCTTGAACATGTGTGAAGAAAAACTAATCCTTTATGAGACAATAGAACTAAGTTAAATTAGGGTTTTGACATGAGGTCACTGCGCAGATGCAAGTAATTTTGGAGTTATTACTGTTGTCTATATCCTGCCCACTTTATTATGTTAGAATGAGATTCTTGTAGTTCAAGAGTTTGCTTTGTACTTTGAAAATTAAAAAAAACAAAACAATACTTGATTGATACTTCTGAAATACACACACAGGAGTAGTAATAATTGGGCTCAGACTCAGTAATCCACTCCCATGAACACGTATTCTTTTCCTCAAGAAGTAGTATCTTATATTCCTAGGACTATAACTTAGATTTAAAGCACAAGTTAAATACTTCACTTAAATGCTTCAGTGTGGAAAAGAATTGTCCAGCCTAAATCCAAAGATTTTTCAAAGAATCAGTCCATGATACACAGCTTGGAACACTTTTATTTTGAAATCAACTGATAGATGAGTAATTTCTGAATTTAACCCAAGGGTCTTGGAGTTTACACACTTTACAGAGCTTATTTCTTTAGTACTCTTTCATTTGCATATTCATAAGAAAACTCTTATGAGGATTTCTCAGCAGGCAGGAATGAAGATCTGTAATGAACTAGGAAACTGCTGCTTGCGCTGAAGATATGGGCCTCTAGATGCTATTTTTACAGGGTTAGATCATTGTAGAATTCCCTGCTTAGTTTTAGCAGAGATTTTGCTTATAAAAACAGTAACGATGAACTGTATTGGGAGTACAATCCTGTTTTAGAAGATCTCATTGAAATTAATCTCTTTAATTTGGCTTTTTAACTTGTATGTTTGAGGTACATGACATGATGCTTTGATATATGTAGTAAGATGCTTGTTATTGTCAGGCTGTTTAGTATATCCATTATTTCACAGTCATTGTTTTGTTTGTATGTGTGTATGTGCGTGTGTGTGTGAGTGTGTGTGTGTGTGTGTGTGTATCCTTAAGGATTGAACATATATGACTAAGAATTCCTTGTCTCAAGAGCAGGTCTTGGTCCTTATAATCTATGTAAGTTTCACTGAATAATTGGTAAGTCTATGGGAGCATGACATTAATCAGTCTGGTGAGTAGTTAAATAGGTGATTCTCTCCATTTATACCTTCCTTTCTCTTGTATAAAGGATGTTTAGGAAAGCCTGTTCCTTGAGTCACCTTCTCCATTCTTTTTCTTTTTTTTTTATTGAACATACTGTACAGAGGGGTTACAATTACATGGGCAAGATAATGAGTACATTTCTTATCAAGCATTGCAGCCTCCTCCTTTGTTTACCCTTCACATCCCTTCCCAGCCTCCTCCTGTCCCCCCACCCAATCCTCCGCCCCCCTCCCCCCAAAGATGTAAAGTTCATTTTCAACATGACAACTTGTACTTCTCATTGTTGCAACGGGTCCACCAGTATCATTAAACGACTTGTTTTTCCCCTTCTCCTCCACAAATTATACTGACATCAAATATAGTGTAAGCAGGAGTTATACTGTGGGGGAGGGACATACAAAGCAACAAAGAGATAATCTTATAAATTCGTTAGAAATCCATTCTTATTCTCTACTTTTTGTTACAAGTTTACAATGGAAAGATAAAATACTATTATTAAAGTACAGGTATTTGGTAACAATGATCTGATAATTTACACAATTATGAAATTATGAGTACATTATAAAATTATGGTGAATCTCTCTTCTTCCTAAAATCAAGCCTGTAGTATAGGGCTCTTGGAGAAAGAAAGTGTGCTTTGCCCTGTGTATACCCTAACTCACTTACATTGTAAAGTGGTCTGAGGTACTTCTACCTAACCTTCTTCCTTCTGCCCTTCACTCAGGAACACAATTGAATTAATTGTTCTCTGATTAATTATTCTCTCAGCCTTGCTTCTACAGGTATCTGACATAATAACATTAAATCTGGTCCTTGTATTATTAGTTTAGCAAAATTCAAACCAGCATCCTCTTAGAAGATACTACTAATTTATGATAGACTTTTTTTGAAGGATAAAAATATAGCTAAATGATAAACCTTTAGTTAATAAAGGAGTTAGAGTAAGAAATAGCTTTCCCAGCTTTTCTGTGAGTATATCAACATCTGGCCAGATGGACATTTCGTCTGATCAACACAATGGGACTTAGACTGGCATAACCAAGTTCTAGAAATACTTTAATATTTATAATCATGGAATCATGTTTTAAGGTGGAACCTATATAGAAGGACAACATGAAATCTGCCCAATAAAAGACAAGGAAACAGGTCATGAGAACAAGAGTACTTAGAGTGGCTCTGATTTCTGGGCTGGAATTGTTTGTAAACTTGGAGCTATGAAGGTAGAGGACTTGCTTATGATGTTTATACAGATGGAAAGCTATGTACCCACTGCTCCAGCCCATGAGACTCTGAAAGATCACATCCCGGAGAGCCATGAGGGAGAGGAAAAGCCATTTAATTATTTGCTTAGATGGTAACATATAACAATATGGATAAGATATTTCAATCCGAGAGCTGTTTCTGCTTCTGACTGCTGTGATGTAGTGTAGCAGGTTTGAGCTTATCAGAGAATTAGAGATCCAAAAGAGGAGCAGATAGGGAAGAACTTGCCATGCAGCCTTTGGTTTGAGCTTTTCCCACAGGGTGGTTCTGGGACTTATGGTGATGGCCTGGACCATGCTGAGGAGACAGGTGGTGCAGATGGAAAGCCCTTGAGCCACTCTTCCCAGATAAACTACAAGTTTACAACCCACATCACCTAGAAAATTTAGGTAATTAAGGTCTGTGGCTATATCTGTGATCTCTCTGCTACAAATAAGTAATGTATTTGAGAAAACCAAGTGAATAAGGACTATGTCTGAGGGTTTTTTCTCAGGGCCCATGGAAAAAATATATACAGTTCTCACAAGAACAAAGATGTTCCCCATAATTCCTTGTCCAGCCAGAGACAGCAGAAGTACTTTCTGGATGAAGTTACTCCAAATCATCTTCTGATTTCATGGACAGTACTAGGTAAATCATTTTGAAAAACACAAATAAGTAAACACAGGATATTTTAGGTCTCTGAATTTTCTCTGTGTTTAGTGAAAGAAAAGTTTTTGAAATATGAAAATTGCATGGTTGTTTGCTAGCACGGACATGACTTCATATTTTTTCATCTGATTTTATTGCTTCCACTGACAAAGAAGTGATGATAAGTGCAATTTGGACCTGAATTTCATGCTCATACATCACCTACCTTTCCAAAAGTTCTCTTTTTGTCCTTCATATCTAAAATTTACATGACTATGCCTCTGGCCTATGTGTAAAGAGCAGCTCCAGGCACAGTGTATCAGACACACTCTTACAAAAGGCTCCTTCACAGAGTAAGGTGGAGAGGTTTCTACCTGGCTGTATAACACCAAATTCACTGTTTCAGTGCATTTTGAACCCCTTTATTTTTGCCTTACTCTTTTATTAAAAGATACAACTTTGTCTCCTATAACTTCTTGGCTTGGATAGAAATTTTGAACTCATCATTTTATAAATTCTGTAAAATCCCTTTGTATAGATGGATACTTATTGATATTTTCAAGTAGCCAAAAAAGGGCCTCTTTTGCTAGTATTTGTATTTAAGAATAGTGAACACTGAATGTATTTTTTTTCTTATTGGAATTCCCAAAGAGCAAATATAACTGGAGGATCAGGTCCCAAAATGGAACTCCTGAGTAACAAAGTTAAATACTTAGGTAATTTTAATGACATCTAACAAATTGCTGTCCCACTTTCTAATACTGGAATATGTATAGTAACAGTCTACTCTAAAAAATACTAGAATTATATCTTTTTTTTTGTGGTATTGGAGTTTTTATTCAGGGCTTGTGTCTTACCCTTGATCCATGCTTCCAGCTATTTTTTTTGCTATAATAAAATTTCAGATATATTCTCATGTTTTTGCCCAGGAGACCAATCTTTCTACCATTGACTCACCCTATATGGCTGGGATTATATACTTGCCATCGCATGCAACTTATTAGGTGAAGTAGGATTTTCCTCTAATGTATTTACCTATGCTGGCCTCAGATTAAATGCCTTTTTAAGTGCACCAGAAAGGAGACTGAGATTTCTGTGTCAGCTCCAGGCTGCAGATGGGTCATCAGGATTGTTGTTTGAGAATAAACTCTTCTATGTTTAAGCTACTTTGACATGGTTTTCTTTTGTATAGCAAAATTTACTTATTGGAAGACAAATAAACAGGCATTCTCTCAATGTCTTTCTTTGCCAGGGAGCATGCCAACATTCAGCCAGGTGTCCTTCTCTGTGGGTCAATACAATGGGATCAGAATCAAATACCAAGCAGCAGAAAGTGTTGATTATGTTATATCATGGAGTTGCTCTCTAAGAAGGAGCTTAAAAGTAGTGAAATAAAACAATCTGACCAATGTAATTAGTGAAGTTAACTTACATGAGTGATTATAATGTTATATGTGAGTAAATACATATTTGAATTGTTTACAGTTTGGGACTATTACAAAATTGCTACTCTGAGTATTTGTGTTGAAAAAAATAGTATTACATGTAAGTGCAGGGAGATTTTAAGGATGAGACAGAATATTTTTGGTTTTTGTTTAAGACTAGGACTTGAATTCTTGATCTGATGCTTTTGCTCATTGGCTGGTGTGATACCACGTAAGACATGACTACAACTCCCAGAATATTTACAGAATAAATACAATAAATGAGAAGCCTACCAAGATAGCAGGAAAACAAAAGATAACCACTAGAAGCTATAATTTACCAACAATTCAGTAAAATTTTTGGATGTTAGTTCTGAAGTCATGATATGGATCGAAATGGAAGCTGAAGAAAAATGAGTTTCACTTAAAAACTCGAATATCCCTTCTTTCTATACCATATAAGAAAGCAAAGTGGGAATCTTCTGCCATGTCTAATGATACTGGGGCTTTGTGATGACACTAGGTCCTGAATGCAGTGACAAAAGACACTTAAGCATTTCATAAGTGTTGACTTCTTTATACGGTCCCCTTCATTTTTCGGGCCCTTAGCATCTAACTTTAGACATAGGTACAAGGGTAAAGACATTATTATGTCTTATAGATCCCCTAATCAACTCCCTTGCTTATTCAAGGAGAGATTAATATTTACACTACTGAGGAAAATTTATACAGAACTTGTAAGGAAATCAAGGAAATGTTAGGTCTACTCACCTTGGTAGCTGTGAGGCAAACAGGTCTGGGTTAGTCCTTCTGGACAGAAGCCTTTCTGTTCCACTTGTACTGTCAAGGTATATAGAACTCCTGACTGCCATAAACTACCACTAAAACTTCAGTTTTAATCTTGTTTATCTCTCAAGAAGAAGAAAACCCTCTGTAGAATCTCAGTCCCTGAAGTACAACATTTCTTCTCCCTCTCCAATTACTACATTTGCTTGTCTCAGAAGTTATCTCAGGCTTAATTAAGTTTTAATTATTTTCATAGAAGGATGTTCACTGAGAAAGTGAACAATAATGTTTCTATATCTAGAGATTTGTATTTCTCCAGACCTGTCTTCTCCTTCCAAAAATTCCAAGTTAGTATGGGGACCACCTTCTGACACATAAAAAAGTCACTTCCTTTTTTCTTTCTCTCTTTTTCTTTTCTTTTTCTTTCTTTTCTTCCTGCCTGTTCTGGGCTTGAACTCAGGGCCTGGGCATGGTCCCTAAGGGTTTATTTATTTATTAAAATTTTTTTTCCTTCAGGCTAGTGTTTACCACTTGAGCCTTAGCCTTAGCTCCACTTCTGGCTCTTTTGGTACTTGATTGGAGACAAGAATCTCATATACTTTCTTTCCCTGGCTGGCTTCAAACCATGATTCTCAGATATCAGTCTCCTGAGCAGCTATGATTACAAGTGTGAGCAACTGGAGCCTGACTCCTTTACTTTCTTAATTCAGAAATATAATAAGTGTTGGTCATCACTGGGGATTATACTTTTTGAGGAAGACTCAACCATGGACTTGCGCAGGCTGTGATTTGCCTTGTTCTACCTATATACATCAACAGTTCAGGGTCCTTGATATATATAGCTGTTTTAGTTCTTGTATAAACAACAACAACAACAACAACAACAAAAAGAGATTTAAAACTGGATCCAGGATTCAGTTGCTCACACCTATAATCCTAGCTACTCAGGTGGCTCAAGTGGTAGATTGCTATCTTTAAGCCTTGGCCCTGAGTTCCAGTTCCAGAACTGGCACACACACACACACACACACACACACACACACACACACACACACCACCACCACCACCACCACCACCACCACCACCACCACCACCACCACCACCACCAACAACAACAACAACAACAACAAATCAAGCTAGATGGATCCACTCCTCCCCTTCAAAAGACTTAATCTGTCATGAAATTCAAAGACAATTCTTCCATTTACCTATATCCAAGTGTAATCCTTCTTTTCTTTATTCTACTGATGAGTTCCTTTCTACTCTCAGACTCAAAAGAACATACATAAATATGGGCACAGGGCTGAGAGTGAGAATCACATCAGTTTTGCAGAAGTGATGGTAGCACTGGGTATCAGGTTGGTTCCTGGTCACTGCCCTTCCCACTGTTTCCTGAGTTTTTGTGTGCCTGGCATGCAAAAGAGGCTGCGAATATTTGTGCCATAAATGAAAGAATACCCATTTCCTGATAATGAATGACAAAATTAAAGAGAGAATAAGTTGTATATAATTGAAAACTAGAAATAAATATTAAACATTTTTTGTTCTTTTGCCAGTCATGGGGCTTGAACTCTGGGCTGTCCCTGAGCTTGTCAGCTCAAGGCAAGCACTCTACCACTTGAGTCACAGCACCACTGTGGTTTTCTGGTGGTTAATTGGAAATAAAGAGTCTCCTTTCCTGCCCTGTCTGGCTTTGAACCATGATCCTCAGATCTCAGCCTGAGTAGCTAGGATTACAGGTGTGAGCCACCAGTGCCCGGCCTGATTGCTAGAACCTTACATTTTAACAGATACCTTATTGTGTGGTTCTAATTTAGGAAAATAAGGACTGAGTTCCCTTAAACAAAGAGAATCAGATTATTTTGTGGCCCTTTGATGATAAGCAGATATAGCATCTTGGAGAATGGCATAAAAAAAGGATATCTAGAAATAAGCCACCAACTTTTTTCAAGCATAGTTTATTTTTTTTAATTTTGGAAAAAGTATGGATTCCTCCCCTGTGTACTGCCCCCCCCCTGCCCCCTTTGCCAGTCTTGAACTCATAGCTTGAGTACTGTTCATGAGCTTAGTTTGAGCCCCAGCTCCAATTCCAGTTTTCTGGTGGTTAACTGGAGATAAGAGTCTCACAGATGTTCCTGCCCAGGCTGGCCTTCTCAGATCTCAGCCTCTTGAGTAGCTAGGATTACAGGTGTGAGCCACCAGTGCCCCACTGAATTCCCCCTTTTTTCAACAATAGAAAATATAGAAAGATATAAAGTGAAGTTTGATCTACTATGTTTTATTAACTTTCCTAGTTATTCTCAAATTTCATAGTTTCCCAGATATTTCACCAGAGATTCTTCATAAATATAATATCAAATTATAGGTATTTCACTGCATTTGAATCCCATTACTGTAGCACTGATTCAAGTTACATATTATGTCATTCCATACAAATACATTTAAACTCATCATTGCTTAACAAATCCCATAAAATCCCTTTCTATATGTGGATATTTACAGATATTTCAAATAATTAAAAATGGATTTCTTGTGTTAATAGTTAAGATTTTTGTATTTAGGGAATAATGACCTATTTTTGCTATTGTAACTGTGAAAGAGTAAGTTTATCTGTAGGATCAGACTTAAGAAGAGATCCCTAGGCAAAAAGAAGTAGGGGCACTTGTAATTCTGACAAAATTGACCAAATTGTTTTCATGCTCCTTGCTACTGAGAGAGTGTCATATTATAAAACAAGATTCACAAATACAGAATTAAAATCACTTCTTGAGGGTAGGCAACAGTAGAATGAGATCTTTCACTCTGGTTTGCTAAGATGTCAGCTCAGGACTATAGGTCACCAGATCCTTATCTGAGTAAACTCTTAAATACTTTGATTCTATTTTATTTTACACAAAGTATACCAGTACTAAGAGTTCTTTCAAACTTAACAAGAATAAATTTAAGGAGACAAACATGCTCTCCATGTCTTTCTCTTCCACTGAGCATACAAATCTTTACCCATATGGCCATCTCTGTGAATTAGTACAACTGGGCTGAAGATGGCATAACCAAGAGTCAGAAATTCTCGAGTATTTAACATGAAGTTATTCTTTAGGGAAAAACTCAAAAAGACAGATAAAAGACAATCTATCCAATAAAAGAAAAGAAAACAGAACATCAGAAGGAGAACCCTTTCAGCAGCTTTCATCTCAGGGGGAGTTTTGTAGAGAAACTTGGAATTGTGAAGGTAGAGAACACGCTGGTGGTGCTTGTAGAGAAGAAATACCATGTAGCCGCTGGCTGCACCCAGGATACCCTGAAACACAGCATCTCTCAAGACCATGAAAGTAAGAAAGATCCAGCTCCTTATTAAGTTGTCGGGTAGAAAATAGCAATTATAATAAGTATTGTTAGGTTGTGATATGTTCAGACTTTTACTTGTGACAGAATAGAGCAAGTTAATGCATACTAAGGAATTGAGTATCCAAAAGAAGAAAATAAATGGGAAGATGTGCCATGCAGACCTTGGCTTGTACCTTTTCCACTTGGAGGCATTAGGACTGATGGAGATGGCTTGAATCACTGTGAGGTGACTGCTGGTACAGACGGAAAGGCCGTGGGCCATTCTTTCCAGGAAAACAATAATCTTACAGCCTATATCATCTAGGAAATTTTGCATACCAAAAGCTGCTATTGTTTTTGGCATCCCTTTTGAAAGAAGTGTTATAATATTTGCCAAAGCCAAATGGATGAGAATAGGGTATATATACATTTTCTCAGTGGGTTTTTGGAAACACCAC